CCCCACACACACACTTAAAGTACCCTGGCACATGTAATTCCAAGTTCTCAGGGACTCAACCTCTGTTGATTTTTTTTCTGGCTGTATTTTAGGATAAGAGCAAACTAGAAGCCTGGGACATTGGCTGAACACTAGCCAGAGGAGAACAGAGCTACCACCTCTCAGGTGCTGGGAAACATGGACTTGACCATACTCTGTTTTATTGTAGCTTTCCTACTCAATACAACAGATTCACCTTTTACGTAAGGCCAGACTAAGTTACTGCGTTAAATGAACATAGTAACTTAAAAAATCCCAGCAATTGCAAGCTTGGAATAAAGTCCGGCAGGGACCCACCCCATTCCCTAAATGGCCAACAAATCTAGATGGAAATTTAGTGAAAGACATCCTTAAGTGGAATTCCAATAAACTGGTATGGATGGTTTTATAAATAAAGTTGATGCCAACATGATGAGAGTATACATTTCGGATGTCTTTCTAACGCAGTGGATGGTGTTGTGCTGAGCCATTGCCACTCTTTTATCAGTTTCTCTTAACCTCAAATCTACAAATGCAAAATATCTCACTGGGACGGAGGGGTAGCTTATAAGCATGGGACATAAATGGGTAGTTGTATAAAGTGAAAGGAAGAACCTAGACTAGGAGTCTGGTCAACTTGGGTTGAATTATGGCTGTGATGTTGTGAGGGGTACTTAATGTCCCTGGTCTATGAAATGGTGATCGTGATAATGACCTTCTATGATTGCTGTGGACTTGTGTATGTTAATGGTTAAGAGAAAATATCCTGGAAACTTACCAGTTCAAATTCTAGTTGCCATTTATTCAGTGTCATATTCCGAATAAAGTACTCAATTTTTTAAAGCCATAGTTTCTTAATGGATCTCAATTTCTTCTATGAAATGAGAATAATAAAGTACTTACTCTTTTAGTTTGTGAGGGTAAATTAAGGTAAAGTTATTGGTCCAGTGCTTGGTATATGATATATGCTTGATTTTCTTAGCTGTTAGTTAACTTAGCTGCCACTGAGTGCTATATAAATGATGCATCTAAGTGTCTGAAAAGGAGTAGGAAATAAAAATTCCTCCATCATGAGCTGAATCCATGATTTGTCCCAAAGACATTATACTATTCCCGATATTTTTCAATGTTGTGCTTTTGACATCTCTAATATTAGTGTAGGAAGAATTGGAATGGGGGATAACTGAGGCTATTAGAGTTGTCAGGCCTGAGAGATAATGAAGGTCAGGACCGGCTTCAGGCAAGGGTC